ATGTTCGTTTTTTTAGACGAAAGTGGCTTTGTAAGTTTAACGACAAGAGCATTTTTTGTATTGAAAATAATTTCAACATGGGGTCACCGTATAGCGAACCGTCTCTTGAGATTTAATATACAATTCATTTACTCATAATAATAAGTAAATACTTCCACAGGATAAGCGAATCATGCGAACATATGGCTACAATTTGTGTGGACAGCCTGCAAAAATATATCGCCGACATACAAGCTGGAATCCACGCATAACCGCAATTCCAGTGATATGTATGGAAGGCCTGCTAGATATTGGTGTTTACCAAGGACACGTAGATGGCGAAATATTTCTTGCCTTTGTCAACAATATCCTTGCTCCATGCCTGCTGCCGTTTAATGGTTTTAATCCACGTTCTATTGTCATACTTGGTAATGTAAATCATTCCCTTACTGCGTGCATACAGTACTGCGTAAAATTTATAATTTTCAAAGGTAATTAACTTTTTTATTCTTGTAGACAATGCTGCAATACATCACACGCAAGACGTTATTGATGCTATTAATGCTACTGGGGCAATGCTAATTTTCTTGCCAGCTTATTCGCCGGATTTCATGCCTTGTGAAGAGCTCTTTGCTCAGACCAAAAGCTATATTCGCCAAAACGACATCGCATGGCAAAATTGCCCAGATCAGGAATTAATGGTATGGGAATCATTTCTGCAGAGTACAGATAAAGAAATAAGAAACTACATACATCACGCTGGCTACATGTAAACATATAATTATATAATCTGTAAAAATTGGTATTATTTTATAAACTTGATAATTCATTTACAAGCTTTTTTTTTGTGCTTCAAATTCTTCTGCGTCTAAAACTCCACCCTCTTTGAGGACTTTCAGGTCTTTCAATTGCTGAATTATTATTGAGCGGAGTTTTGCCTAAATATGTGATGAAATACTTCAGTTTGATTAAACGCATTGACTAAGCTATACATATATCAATAGCCTTTTGTCATATGCTACATGCATGCATGCAATTATCTAATTGCATTGTTTGGTCAGTCGAGATATTTGCCTTCCCTAAATTTCCCTGTCCCTTACTTATTAGCACATCATGCTTGACTGTGAAGGCTGTAGCTTTAATTACCACTGGGAAAAAGCCTCCGTACAATGTACTTCAGAAACACATTATCTAAAAATAATACTGCAAAAAAACAGAAATTCACATACTTTTGCTTCCATCGATTGAGGCATTGACATTGTTGTGTGTGTTGTAGCTACAGTGGTTGTTGCTGATGCTGTAGCAGCTGAAATTGGCGTCACTGCAGGGGTTGACGCTGTTGGATTGTTTCGTACCTGGCCTGCCTTTAATCCAGTGAAAAACGGGATTTTTGGAGGCATGTCATAGCTGCTGTATGTGCCGTTGCTCTTCAAACAATATAAGTGAAACTTTGTAAAGAATAATGATGGCATGATTGCTTTCCATTTCAGTAGTGTAGTTTATAAAATCTTCAAATAATTGCAGCTATTTCAATTATTAAGGTTGACATTGACAGTAGCAAATGTACAATATGAACGGTAAAAGAATGATATGGCAAAATCATAAATTTCAATATGCTTAACAGATCAATTGATTACCGAGATATTGTACAAATTGTGCCAACGTGTAACACGTATTTCAAACTGTGAATTTTGCATTCATTCTTTTGCGTTTCTATAGTACATTTGATTTTTGATGTCAACCTTATTGAACCTTAATTGAAATTCATTGTTTTAATAATGCATTTAACATGCACTACACTTACCAACATTTTAGCCCAAACTCTGAGTTTGAATTCGGCATAGTCGCCTCCATGCTTCTTTTGTAATAGCGACATTATGCTCCCCATATCGGCTGCTTAAGATGAAGTTTGTGCTACACATTTAAAGATTAATACCTAAAAATATTTAGGAAAGGTTATAAACAACACTTTTTCAAATGAAACACGTATACCATTATCATCATCATCATCACTTTCATCTAAGCGGGCTCTCTTGGTTCCCTTGCAATTCGATTTAGCTGGAAAGTCTGCACCCTCTGCCTACAACGTTATCCAACCGTCTTTAGCCATGAAGTATGCTTCAACCAGGTTGCCATCGTTCACCATAACTACCCGTCTGTTTCTACCAGCAATATAGCCGAGCTTGAATGACTGTTCATCATCAGCAGGGGACAGTTCCACAGCGAAGTTTCTTAGCAAATACTCTTTCATCTCATTCAAACTATCGAATATCAGAACATTTTGGCGACTGTAAGTGCTATATTTTGTTCTGTTGCTTTTACACACGATTTTCAGGATAACATTGACTGTAGCTTGCTTCTCCATGTTTGCGGTCAGAATGTGATGAATTAGTCAGGTATTTTAGCAAAGCGTTTAATAAGGCAAGAAAAAACAATGATTCCTATGGGATTAACCTGTTGTATTCAATTTCAAAGGACTCAAGTTTAAAGTTTTAATGATTTATACACTCTGTATTAATTTTCTTTTACTTTTATTCCTTCAAGATGACTTTTTTGTTTAAATATTAATTTATGGGAAAAGTTTAGTACTGTATTTCTTCTCAACTTTCTAATGTTTAATATAGGCTATATCATTTCATGAAATAGGTTCAGCAACTGCCTAGGATTTACAAGAAAATTTTTTGAAGTTTCGACGTAAGGCTATCGTTAGGAGAGTTACTATACAGGGTGTATTCAAAAAAAGGAGAAATTCACCTTGTAATTATAATTTGAATGCCTGAGTATTATACGGAGCCCATGAGTGCGTAAACACAATGGAATCTAATTTTTTACATGGGAAGTTATTTAATGTTATTGCTTTCGTTCAACATATGATTAATTGTAAAATTCGAGCTATCGAACAAAAAAAAAACACGAACAGAGGTCAAAGTATACCAATCAGTATTTGCTTGAAAACTTCGCTGTGGAAGTTACTATAGCTACTGTAGCTACAACACACACAATTGTATGCAATTGTACACACATATGCAATTGTATGGCCGGCCGATGATAGCTGTGTTGACATTTCCCAATTCTCTGAACCTTCTTATATAACGTTTTATTGTTGACTGTGATATTTGCAGATAAAAACTGACTTGCTCTAACTCAATATCTAATATTTCGGCTAAGAAGATTGCTCTCCAGCGTAGATCTTGACTGTATGGGGCCGGCATTGCAACAAAATAATGTGGTTCATTAATTCGCATGAAAATTCCCGAAGTTCTTTGCGCGCTCAATGTCCAAGATACATAAATACATAACTGCAAAAGTCAACCTTTTTTGAATTGACTGTAGATATAGATATAGATATATAATATATATATAATAATATATAATAATATATATATATATAAATATATATATATATATATATATAAAACAAGTAAAAGACACGGTTTTCTGTGGTTTATAGCATACAGTTCTGTTTCATACAGGACTAGCCTGCACTCCTCAGTGCTATACCAGAGTTATTAACGAAGAATATTTACAACATCAGAATCCTAATACTATATCTTATTTACATAAAAATTTACTAAAACCGATTAAAAATCTTATTTTAAAAGTTTCATTGTTTTATCTAACACTTTTCAAAAGAAATTTATTCTCGTGTCTACATTTGCTAATTAATTCGTTCCGCTTGTTGAGGGTCGCTAATCGCCGTTTACATAAAATAAAGAATTTTTCTGTGATTTCATTCACATTTTCTAACAAAAGAGCACAATGGTTTAGTTAATGATTGTGAGATAGTTATCATTGATAAAACTAATCTGGCAGAACCTACAATTAGGGAAAAGTATTGGATCGACAGACTTAAGACAATGTACCCCTCTGGGTTGAATATTGAAATGGATAACTATGCATGCTAATTTTAATCTAGGTAGGTATATATAAAAGTAGAAGCCTGTAATATTTAGTTCACTTGAGAAAGATAATAAAGTTGATATATATATATATATATATATACCGAGATAGTATGAGGAGCTACAAGCAGGACAACATATCACTATTGCTTACCATGATGAATTCCACTTTAGCGACATACAATAATATTCCTTCCCCTCACCAATTTCTCATTCCAGGCTTGGGACTGGACAATGGCTAGTTTAAAAGGAGGAAGGAAACCAACACACAAACATAAAAGAGAGTTTATTCATGAAATGAATCTGTGTGTGTGTGTGTGTGTGTGTGTGTGTGTGTGTGTGTGTGGGTGTGTGTGTGTGTGTGTGTGTGTGTGTGTGTGTAAACCCATTTGCAAAAACGTTGGCCGCAGATAGATAGATAGATAAATACTCGAAGTCTAATTAGAATTGCATATGTTGTGTAATGATTGAAATCCCATGCAAATGTAATCATATGCAATTCTAATTAGACTTCGAGTATCTATCTATCTGCGGCCAACGTTTTTGCAAATGGGTGTATACATATATATATATATATATATGTGTGTATGTGTGTGTATGTATGTATGTATGTATGTATGTATGTGTGTGTGTATGTATGTGTGTTGTGTGTGTATGTATGTATGTATGTATGTGTGTGTGTATGTAGGTACGTATGTACGTACGTATGTATGTATATATATATATATATATCTATATATATATATCTATATATATCTATATATATATCTATATATCTATATATCTATATATATATATATCTATATATATATATATATCTATATATCTATAGATGATAAACTATAATGATATAAATGTAGAAATGATTTAAAATATTCAAATATATTGTAGAAATGTTTTAAAATATTCAAATATACTGTATTTTACATATTTGAATATTTTAAATCATTTCTACATTTATATCATTATAGTTTAATTCTATTTATTAAATGAACTATTGTAGATAATTTTTAAAAAAAATTGATATGTAATTTTCATACGTACACTCTTCAGTATTGGAGGCAATAAAGATTATCTATCTATCTATCTATCTATCTATCTGTCTGTCTGTCTGTCTGTCTGTCTGTCTGTCTGTCTGTCTGTCTGTCTGTCTGTCTGTCTATCTATATATATTTTTAGCATGGTAAATCTAAGATTAGAATTTCATCAAATCTGGTTTGGACCATTCTTTATTTCTACAGCAGAAAATATAGTATGTTGATCTAATCGCAATATTGATGATTTTTCGAATAATATATTTTACATGACTTTGATTTGGGTATATTAATTCTAGCATTTTTATGAAAGCAGCAGATTGTTTGTCGAAGACACCAAGAGCACTGATGGAGAGATTAATGAACTTTACTGACTGAAATTTTTTCTTTTGTTCCACAATTAATTCTTCATATTTGGAGTATTTTATTGCGCTTTATATTATTTCTGAGGTTAGTTTCAAAACCAACCGAAAGTTCCAATACATACAGACAGTTATCCTTAATCAAGATTAGTAAGTCAGGACGGTAGCTATCACCAGTTATAATGGAAGGATTCAGAAATGAAGGCAGATCGGCGAAAATATCTTGGATTTGTTCTGATTGGAGGTTATTGGCTATAAAATTGAGAATTGAGTGATGTCTCCAGGTAAATCGGTCTAAATAAGAGTTGCAGCCAACAATAACATGTAACAACGTTTCACGATTAAGGCAAAACGAACATTCAGAAGATGAAGAGATTCCCCATTTCGGTCGGTTGTGAATTGTTTATATAACGAATTGTGAAGTTAAAAATGTTTCTCGGTAGTTTGGATTCACAGGTTGGCCCAAATCGTGTTTATT